CCCCTCTTCCCGGTTCCTTTCGCCGCGTCACGGCCCTTGCTACCACCCACCCCTTTCTCTCCCCCTTCCCGTGCCGGCCGCTCCCTTCTGGTGCGTGTGGGCTCTGTTTGCCGCCTTCCTCCTCTCTTTGTTCGCCTGTCCTCCCTTTTTTTGTTTCCTTTGGTTTTCTATCCCCCCTTTCTTGCCCATGCCTTTTCTCTCCCCTCTCCCTCTTTCCCGTGTTTGTCTCACGCCCCCGTGCACCCTTCCTCCGCCCCTATTCTGCTATTTTTCCCCCTTCCTCTCCTTCCCTTCCTCCTGCTCCCCTTCTCTTTTTCTTTTCTTTTTGTTTTCCCGTTTCCGCCTGCCAGTCTGTTTTGTTCCCTCTCCCTACTGTCCTTTTTTGTGTGCTCTCTCTTCCTTTCCGCCCGGTCCCTTTCTATCATTTCCTCCCATCCTCCTCCTCCTCCTTTTCCCGTCCCCGGTCACCGGTTCCCCTTCCTCGCCGTTAGGTCTCTTCCCCTTTCCCCCTTATCCCTTTACATCCGCTCCGCCTTCCGTGGCCTTGCCTGGTTTTCGCGCCCGTCCCCCTCTTGGTCCCATCCCCTTTGAGCTGGCGGTTGCCTTGTCGCCGCGCCCTCCTCCACGCCCGCCGGCCAGCCGCCGTAGACTGTCCCCCGTCCCCCTCGTCCTCCTCCTCTTCTGGCTGGTCTGCGCCGTCTGCCGATGGTTTTCCCCCTGCGGCACCCCACCCCTGCGTGCCGCCTTTCCTCGCGCGCACTTTGCACCATTCTCGTCCGTTCCCCCGTCCCACCCGCGCCGCCCACGCGCCACCTTCGTTTCCCCTTCGCCTCCCTAGCCCGGCGCCGCCCACGTTCCCCTTCCACTCTCCGGGCGCCCCCGTTTCCGTTCGCCACCCCCTTTCGTCCCTGCCTTCACGCACCGGCTTCTTGCCTCTGTTCTCGCGCGCCGCCCCGTCGCTCTGTTTCTCCACTGCCGCATCTTCCCTCTTTTTCCCTTCTGGTGTGCTGCGTGCGGCTCTTCTTACTCCTGCCGGGGACTGCATTCCTACATTTCTTTCCGGGTCCCTCGTCTCTCTTTCCACTGTTTCTCTCCACCTTTGTCCCTTTCCCCCCCCTCTTCCTTTTCCCGTTTTCTCCACTTACTCGTCTTTCCCCCTGGTTCGTTCCCCCTCGGGTGCACCTTCTTTACTTGTCTTCTCCCCCGCTCTCCGGGTGGGCCCCTGCCCACCTTCCCCCGGCTCTCATTTTTCCCACCCCCCCCGACTACCCCCCTCCCGTCCTATTCCCCCAGCTGCCCCGGGGGGCCTTGCCACACCTGCTCCACTCCCCCGTCACCCTCGACTTCGTGTTCCTCTGCGTGTCTCTCCTCCCTCTGTTTTCCACTCCCGCCCTTCCCCACCCCGCTTTCACGCTTCCCTGCCCACGTCGTCACTGTTCCTCTTCCCTCCAACCTTATCCCTCACCTTATGCGCTCGCCCCTCTCCGTCCCCCACGACCGCCCCCACCTCGCCCCCCCCCCTCCTCGCAACCTCAGGTTCCCTGCTGCCCGCTCCTGCTGCCTGCCCGCTACCGCCTTCTTCCCCCGGCCCTTCCCTTTCCGCTCTCCTTTTTTCACCTGTTCCGCCCCCCCCCTTTCCACCCCCCTTTTTCCTACTACCTCCGTCTCTCCCCGGCTTTTTTTTTCGTCCTTCCTCATTTCTTCGCCGCTCTGTTTTTCTTGGCTGTTGTGCGCCCGTCCACCGCTTCACCCGGCCCCCGTTTTTGCCTCCACCGGCGCTGCTGCCGCCCCCTCGGTCGCCCGGTCGTCGACCTTTCTGTTACCCCTTGTCGCCCTCTCCCCCTCTTCTCCACCCCTTTTTTCTTTTCCCCTGTGTTCCCTTTGTCACCAGTCTACCGTCCACTCCCCACCTTCCCTTTGCTCTGCGTTTCTTCGTATTTTCACTCCTCTCGTGGCGCCTTCCCCCCCTTTCCTTTTCCCTCCCACCTTCCTGCGTTCCCTCCCCTACTTTCATCCCTCCTCGCTTTTCTCTGTGGTAGCCGCGCCTCCGTTCGCCTTCCCCCCTCGCATCGTTCCTGCCTTGCTTTTCCCTGATTTTTCCTTCTTCTAGCGCGCCTACGTGGCCTAGCTGTTTTTTTTTCTTTTTCCTCTTTTTTTTTCTTTCTTCTTTTTTTAAATTTTGAGAACCACTATCTTTTCTCGGTTCCTTTTTTCTTTGCCGGCATCCTTGCGGCCCTACTTTCGTTCTGCTGGTAGGCTCCCTACCCCCTTGTCTCCAATTTTCTCCGTCTGGTTTCTCCTGTTCTCGTCTGGTGCCATTTTTCGTCCAGCCCCCTTTCCTTTCCCCTCTTCTCCTCCTCAGGGTCTCACCTTTCCTCCCTCCGCTTTCCCTTTGTGCCACTTTTCCTGTGTCTCATCCCGCGGTCCCCCCGTTTTTCTATCACCTTATTTCCTCACCATTCCCGCGTCTTGTTGCTGCCTGTTTCCCGCCTTTTCTTATTTCTTTTTGTAGGATTTCCTTCTTCTAGACCCCTCGTACGGCGCTTTTCCCTCCCCCCGCCTGTTCCGCCTACTTTACTCCTCTCCGCGCTGCCTTTCCTTCCCGTCCGTCCTCTTGGTGTAGCTCATTCCCTCCTGTCGTTTCCCACCGCACCTTTGTGCTCACTTCTGTATCTCCGCTGGCGGCCTGCCCTCCTCTCCCCTATCTCAACCCGTCCCCTCTAATCCTCACCTGCCACCCCCCTGCACCTGCCCCATCATTTACTCCCTGGACTGTCTTGTGTGTCCGGTGGTTTTTTTTCCGTCTGTTTTCGTCTTTCGTTCGTTTTCCCCCCACACCGGCCTCGCCCTTCAGCGCTCTCCACCTCCTTCCTCCCCCTCTCCCCTCTCTCCCTTCTATTTCAAACCGCCTCGTCCCGATGGTAACGCGTTTCGGCGGGCTGCTGCCCC